GGGTTTGTTTCTGGTCTTCAAGCCATCTTTGTCTAGTGTGAATACAGCCACTCCGCTTTACTTATAATTCATGTGTCCCCGGATGTCTTTCAATCCTTTCCCTTTCACCCCATCTCTGTTGTTATATTTGGAGTCCCCGGATAGTGCAAACGGTTCCTACATGCAACTTGGAGGTCCAAGCTCACCTGTTCTACTTCTGGAAAATCAGCCATTGAAAACCCTCTGGGTACAGCTTTGCTCTGCCGCACCTGGGTCATGTGAGTCAGGCGGGTCTGGACTGCAGCTGGCTTCGGCTTGGGGCTTTATGTTTATTTAAATCATGCTTCTTGTAGACATAGTAGTGTTGGGACTTATTTTTTTCATTCAGTCCAACATCCTTTGTTCTTTACATTTTATAATGATCAGTATGGTTGGGCTTAACTCCACCATCTTATTCTTTATTTTCAACTTGTTCCATCTGTTATTTGTCTGTATTTCTGTAGATTTGATGTGTTTCGTATATTCTGCATCTCCGCTTGTGCGTTATTAGCTCTACCTCCTCATTTTCTTCATTCGTTTGACTCTGCCTCCAAACGCTACCAGGCCACTTGGTAAGCGATGTAAGAATCTCACATCAGTGAGCCTTCGATTTTCCTCTCCTGTCCTTTGTGATCATTTTTAAACATTTTATCTCTATGTAAGTTTTAAACCCCATGATGCAATACTAGTTTTTCTTTAAGTGGCAACTATCTTTTAAATAAATTGTAGTCAGCGAAAATTATTTGGTTTCTGGCCTTGTTTGTTTTTCATTTTAAGCATTCTTCATTTTGGGTATAGATCCAAATTACCGTCTAGGGGCATTGTGCTTGGTAAGACAGAGGGGCAGTGAGCAAGAAAGAGGCAGACCTCTAATGAGATGGATTCACGCTGTCGCTACAGCAATGGGCTCAGAGATATCAGCAATTGGGAGGAAGGCACCCAGGTAGGCTGTGCTTTGTTCTGTTCCATGTCAGGTCACTGGGGGCTGGAACTGACCTGGCGGCATCTAACAACAGTCTTGCTATCTTCTGACTGGCGTTCCGTCGGATAAGTCAGAACGCATCGTAGTTCGTCCCCATGTGTGTGTCTTTTGCCCTGGCTGCTATTATGGGTTTACCGTCATCACTGGCTTTCAGCAATGTGAGTGTTGTTTACTTTGGGGGATGGGATACTATGTGCAAGTGTGTGTGTGCGAATGTGTGCTTTTCTTTTTCTTTCTTTCTTTTTAAAGACATTTTATGGAGGACTCTTACAGCTCCGGTAGCAATCCTCACATTGATTGAGCTCCTCGGACATCTGTGCTTGCAGTTTCCAACACATTTAGAAGAATTTCACCCACTACTTCAAATATTTTTCTGCCCCACCTCTTTCTGAAATCTCAATGATTTGTTATCTTAAGGCCATTGATACTTTATTCTGATTCTTTTTCTCCCCAGCCGTATCTCTCTTGCTGTGCTTCAGTTCGGATCATTTCTGTTGTTGTAGCTTCAATTCACTGATTATTTTCTTCTAATCTGATTAAGCCCATCCTGGTCTTTTACATGAAATATTATACTTTCCGTCCCTATAAATGATATTTTAAGAGTAACTTCCAATTTTCCTGTTATATCCATGTGATGCTTTGAGCATCTTATAATATGCTTTTGTTGTTGTTGTTTTTTAATCATTTTACTGAGGG